AGAGTTTGAGGTTGACCGCATCTGAAGAACTTTTGTTAAGTAAAGCTGGGACCGTCAGATAAAGATAATTGAGACTTTATCTGGGGGAAATAAGTGTTGTAATGTAAAAGAAAGGTTTGAAATCAGCAGAAATAAAACAAAGAATGTGGAGAAAAATATGTTAGAAATCAATTTTTAAATATTCAATGAATGCTTTTAAAATTTTGTAATTAACTAATATCTTCGTTTTATTCTCCGACAAGCAAAAAGAGACAAAAATCTGTGACAAAATTTTGGAGGGAAATTCCAGTCACATGATGGCGGTATAGAGCGTATGGTGTAATATGTAAAGAAGAATAATGTGTTTATATATAAACATGGATCTGGGGCATTAAATCCTCGACGCGGCGGTCTATAGAGTGCAGTTAAACTTCTTAGTATCTACCAGACGTATCTAGAGCGGGTCATTGCCCCTGCGCGTTTCTATATTTATATATTATGATATACGGAAACCAGACATGGCAAAAAAACATGTGTACAAAACTAACACAAATTAAAATTCTTTTTTCTTTCTGAAAAGTATATCAATAGTTGCTGATACGATGCTTTTTTGGTTATTTTTTAGCGAAACAGATGACGGAATTTTTGTTTGCACTAAATTCATTAAATTGAATGAATAAAAGACTTTAGATAGTAAGGAAATCTTGTGCTTGCTAAAAAAAGTATGAGGGTGAAAACCAAAATTGATGAAGGAAAGAAAATTTGTAAAGTGAATTATGACCCTGAAGAAGGTCATAAAAAGCTGACAGAGAAGGAAGCCAAATAGGTGAGAGATGTACAGGTACTACAGTACATCACAACACATCACATTAAAACTAATAAAAGGAGTATAACTCTCTTAGGCTTGATAAGAGAGAGAGAGAGAGAGAGAGAGAGAGAGATTTCAAAGAATAAGTGCGTTTATCATCTATTCTTCTTTTGTTTTCGTTCTTCATTTCTTGTCATTTTGCGATTAAACATTGGGTTACAATCTACAGTGTACATATAGAATTAATCTGATCTTGCATTGGTTTCTTGGGGCTGTGTGTTATGTAGAAATAAATTAGTTTTCATACCCCTTTACCCTCCAAAATATTTGTAAATTTATTTAAATATTTAACAATATGAGGAATTTTTTGGTTAGTTTTTTTTTTTTTTATATAGTTATTTTATCTCTTTCATTGTTATCGTTTAGTTGTTGGGTTTGTAATCTTGTCGCCCTAGTTGAATATCTTGGATTCTAAATTTTTATTTTACCTCTACTATGTGTGTTTTGAATAGATTCTTTCTTGAAATATATTAAACTAGGTCACGTAATTATTGAAAACATACATGTGCATTTAATCAATTAAAAAGTTCGGTTAATAAAAACTCTACAAATGCGCGCTCTTTTTTTTTCAAATATAAATCTTAACATTAAGTACATATATAAATATATTTTAATGCATATGTATATATTTGTATGTTAATTTTTAATCTTTGTTAAAAAAAAAATATGTATGATATACATAATACCCTGCTAGGAAATAAATATCTATTTTGTATTTTCAAAGAAAATTTTTAAAAATGTAATTAACGAATTCTGTTTCAATAAAAAACAAACAAAAAAAAACAACAACAAAAAAAAAAAAAACAAACAAACAAACAAACAAAAAAAAAACAAAAAAAAACCAAACAAACCGCATAGTAAAACATGTTTCTACATGATGCTATTATAATCCATTTTTTTTTATTATGATTATTTACATTATTAATGAAGGCAATTTTTGCTGAATTTTCATCTTTTACTCTCGATAAAACGGAAGCTGTTGTTTGTTTTGTTTTATTTTTTTTCTTGTTGTTTTGACTTTGTTTGTTTTTTAAAAATTTGTTTTAGTGTTTTTTTTTTCTTCTTCTCTTTCTGTTTTTTAATTTGCTTGGTTCTCCTTTTTTAGGAATATGTTTATATAATTTTTTAGTTGTTCAACGATTTATTTTAAATGATATTTTGGTTAACACATGGACATGCATCTGATGGGCACACTAAAATGAAAAGAATAATTATAAAAAACGTCAATTTATGTGTTTCTCATATTGATCATTTAAGAATTTTGATTTTTTTTTCACATTTTGTTTAAAGAAAAAAAAAACTCTTAATGTGCATAATCTGAACATAAATCAACCTCTACATTTTTTAAAACAAATTGTCCAAATATAACCTTCTAATTTGTTACAAAAGTTTGTGGTAATACTATTTATAAAGTGGTAATACTATTTATAAAGGTCATCAATATCAGAGTTTCTAAAGCTCAGTTTAATGTATGAAAATTGATATATTTTTGTACCCTATAATGTAAATATGGAATAAAGTTTTGTGAATAGCATATTCGTGAGTAAGTATGCTATTATTTAACTGAATTTTTAGAAAAAGTGAAATGATAAGGAATTTGAAATATTTCAAAACAAAGGAAAGGTACCTCTAAATTTGAGATTAATTTGAAGTTTTAAGAAAATTCAACGAAGAGAAAAGAAAGATTCATAGATTACATCACCATGTCTGACCTTTAACCTCAAGAAATGGCCTTGACTGTCATTGAAGACTATTAATATACGTGTCCAAAAACAAGGTCTATAGAAACAAAGGTTAGATTTTATTATAGGACAGGACAAACCGCACGTAGATGAAATATGTGCAGGCTCAAACAATGTCTTCAATATAAGCATGATATGGCAAAGAAATAAATGTCTATAATATTTATAAAAAGAAATATATCATTTAATAATGAATAGAGATTTCTAGTTATTTATTTCGTGTGCCTTAGAAGATATGAACTATTTTTGAATATGATTTCAACCGTGTTATGTATTACCTTGATTAGTAACAACAATTTTAAATATTATTCTCAGAAAAAAAATTACTCTTGTAGATAATATATTGATATACATTCGAAAAGTTGAAATACTTAATTTTGAAAGAGTAGTCAAAAATTAAGAAAAAAAAATTGTAGACATGAGCTTAGTAAATCTTTATCTCAACTCTTAAGAAAATATAATTATACTAACTCTAAAACACAAACATGTATTCAGAAATTTCACATTTTATGATCAAAATATCAATAGTTGTTTTTAAAAATCGTATTTTGATCTTTAACACTTCATAAAATGAATATTAAAAAACTAAGGAAGGGAAGGAACAAACGGTATTTTTCTATACTAGAAAAACAGTTAAGTTTTTAGGGCTATGTCAATTTGAAATAATAATTTAAAAAGGGGGAGGCTGAAAGAATGTCCCAAATCATATTCTATTAATTTTTTTTGGTATGACTTACAAATGCTAAATAATACAAATGCTAGAATTAGGATTTGCTACATCTATTCGTGCTGTTTACCTTCAAACATTTTTTAAAGATTTCATTCAAAAGCAGCATTCTTTTCAATTATAAAAAGCTTTTTCGACAAGTCACACAAAATTCTTATCAAATATATATTTGCTATGTATGGATGACAAGCATAAAACTTTTGCTAACAGTTTACAGACCCCCCTTCTTTTTTTTTCTCTTAATTTTAGTTCTTAATCTGTTTAACTATAGTTATTATATTTTTTCTCTTAAACAATAGAAATTGAATTAAAAAAAAACCCATCAATCATCCTTTTCTTAAAAGGAACAATATAATTTATAGAAAGAATCAGCATTATAAACATATCTTAATACGGACTAGTAATATGTTTACAAGGTAAAAAAGAACATTCATCGTTTATTCTTTTTAACCTTATCATTTCAGCTTAATTGAAAACCCAGACAGGGCGGTCCCTAACAGTGAAGGTTCCCAACAAATATAGATGGCAAATGTTTAGTCGGTTACTAATGGTTACCAAATCTATGCCAAGGGGTTAGGTTACTTGTGCATATTTCTTGCAACAGCAGATAAAAATCTTTATATTAGATGTGTTTTAAAACAACTCAAAAACAATTTTCAGTCACATTCTTTTTGTACTTAGACTTGTATTTAGATCATCGATTGGGTCTGATGAATTTTTTACTGTTATAGTAATTGATCGAATTTATGTCAATATCTGCAGTATTCGATTTTTTTTTTCATTATGAATGGACCAGACTTATGCTAGGTGTTTGTGCATAATAAATATAAATTTAGCACTTCTAGTGTGATTTTTTTCTGTTCAGTTTATATGCAGTAACAGTATTTTCATTGGATATGAGTACAACCAAGTTAACACGGTGCTAAAATAGAAGTTTGTTTTTCATTATGAGTATCATTAAAGTAAATGGTAGAAAATGGAAAAGAGGGTTTAAACGACTATATATCTAAAGTGATCACAAATGCTTTAGTTTATGAAATTTAAAAATGATAATTTTATGGTTTAAAAGCAGTTGGGAAACCAGACAAATCTATATAAAATAATTTCCAGTTAATGTGGAGCGAACAAACAGACATTTCCTGGAAATTTTATGGACAAAAAAGGGATTTCGTTTGTTGAAAATCTATAATCTATATCCAAATTAAGTTTATGTTTTATAATATTATTGGCCAGACTAAAACATATGTTCTGCTTCTGTGTGGAATATATATATATATTTTTTTACTAAATTCAAATATCTTTTTCTGTAATATGGTAATTTAAGAAAATTTCATATACATTAAATCCCTTATTAAATAATAAATTCTTTAATCATTAATGAATAAGTTGGTTATGCCAATTCAGGATTATTCACTAAAACGTTCAATTTTCAATGGAATTCATTTTTTTTTTTGGTCTTTTTTTTTTTAAAAACTACTGCAACAATTCAACGCACCAAAAACCGGGAAATGAAATGGTAATTAGATAAAGCATATTCTTAACTTGATGAATAATTACATTTTTAGGATTTTGAAAATCTCTCCAACAGTCTTGTGATGCTATTTTTAAAAAAATCCAATGAAATAATTTTCGTGGATTACGCCTATTTATTGCGCTAGTTTTAACCAATCAACTTATAGCTTACTTTGTAGACCGTGCCCTCTCTTTATGTCGTCACCAGTAGCAGTAGGGAGAATTAGGAATTCGTCTGCCCTTCTGAAGGAAGGTCAATCTATGGTTCTTGGCGTTTTGAATGTAATCATGCGAGTTATGTTTCGTGATACTTTTTGAAAACTTTTGAAATTGTGTGGATATAGCATCATTAATTTTAAGGATCCATCTGGTGAAAAAACTGCTGAGAACCTTTCCTAAGCCAGGCAGATTCCCATCGTCTCTTTGGTATGCCGGTAGGCCAGAACGCCCTCGCCAAGAGGGCATTTCAGGTCGTCGTGCTAGAGCGGGTTAACACAGACAGATGTTCGCGCTGACCTGGTCATTCGAGATCACTTGAGGTGAGCTTTCATACCACTCGATTTCATAGCGAAAAAACTTAGGCAATGCCTAGGTCTTTTAATTCCACTGATTGTGTTGATATATTTTCACGAATTGGAACGATCAATATATCTCCTATACTGAGGAATAACCACAACAAGCGTAACACTACAGCAGATGATATTGAGCCATTTTAATTCTCAGAAAAAATCCCAAATCGGAACAGAAGCTAATTCCTACTAAAGTTGTTGTAAAGAAACATCCAAGCTGCTAATTTAATACTTTAGTTTAAAATCGATGTTATTCAGAAGTTGCTCCATATCTTTGCATGAAAAACTGCAGTGTGCATCAAACTCGATTTATAAACAAATTGCGTAATAGTTGAGTTGTGCAAGTTGCCTGTATGCACCGGCGCAGTGTGTATTCCTGCACCAGCGAACGTTTAAACCTGCAGAAACATGCACTATTTATCATACAAAATGGCAGTTGCACAAATGCAGAATAACTATTAATAATCAGGTGTAAAACTTCAAGGAGATTACGTAATTTAAATACTTAACAAGCGAATCGGGGAAAATGCGCGCAATACTGGGGTTTTTGTTAGAAATTGTTAATGCATGCAAATTTCGTTTCCTTGCATATTTGACACTTTCCCGCCTATTCTGTCGCTCTAGAAATAGCGTACATGTGTGAGAGGATTATTTATTTCGCGGATGTTTTTTGCTGTATCATTGAAATTAATCTATTTATAGGTTTGTTGAACCATCTTTTTATAAATTTATTTTCTTTTTTTTTTAAATGCAGTGTTTGTATCCGAGAAATTTTTAATTTAACATGGAGAAAAAGCAAATAGAATGCAATTCAGTAGAAGTGTCAGTGGTTTGAAAAGAAGTTCCATTTCAAAAAGGCAGAAGAATGCAATTTCAAAGAAAGGTCTTGTAGTGCATTGATTCAGGGTTCCATTTGCAATTTAATAACTAGATTTATTGTATTAAAATTATCATTTAAACAGTCAGCCTTTAAATTTTGCTTCTTTTTTCTTTTGAGAGGCTTTCTTATTTTTATGAAATGTTTTCATGCATTTATTTTTCTGAAACATTCCTTTGAGGATATTTATATCAAGACTCTAAATCCCCAAAAGTCTGTTGATAGGGGGCACAACTCTTACAAAAATAGAGCTATCATTTTAATTTACCCCCTAAAACTAAATAATTTTCAAGTATAATGGACCTCACCCTTCCATTACAATTACTTTTTATAAATTTAATTATAATAATCAATTAAAAATCTGCAATGCCATGTTTTTTTTATTAAATTATATATGTATTGGGGTTGGGGTTAATAACTGGTCATTTCTGCTCATATAAAGTTTAAATTTGACCCCAAAAAAATATAAAAATGATGGTGCTTATTATTAAAAATCTCTTTGGTAAAAAGTGATAGTATATAAACATTGAGAAATTAATTATAGCCAGAATACCTTTATTTTAAGAATTAAGGGACATATAGCTCTGCAGAACATCCTTTGATTTGTCCTTGTTTTTAAAACTGTAATCTAACAATATCTCACTGTGTGTTTACTGATATTGGATGATTGTTTACTAATCAAAACTACATACCCAGTTTTATGTTGACTCATTTTTTTCTTAATAAAATGTTTTATATTTACAGTGCTCCATTTTGGTTTAAAACAGATCGCATTCGAGACCAAAAAATTGGTTTTGCGATGAAATTAAAACTATGTCGCATTTTGATAGAAAATTTAAAGGACGTTTTTTTTATGATCGGGATTGAGATTTACGTTTTCAAGATTCTCTATCAAGACAATGTTTGAAGATATACATTTTAACACACTTTACAAAGCGCCGTATTTTTGGATCACGTTATATAAATATACAGTTTTTTAGGGTAACATTTGAAATTGACACCCCAAGGAAATACCATTGTCAACCGACTGCAGCTACTTAGCGGAGGTTGAAAATCTTTTGGTAAAAAGTGATAGTATATATAAACATGTTAAATTAATTATAGCCAGAATACCTTTATTTTATTATATAAATGACTTATTTACGGCGTCAGCAAAAAAAAAAAAAAAGAACCGTCGATCGTCTTTACGTTCATGTATAGAAAGCTTTCACACTCACCGGTTCACTAATCTCCTTATTGTTTGTTTGATACTCGAATTAGTCATTAATCATATAAAATTTCAATATTTATGTTCGCAAGCATGTTTCCTACATAAAATGTTTTATATTTGTTGTTTTCAAGTAAGCTATATCGGACGCAAGCTTTTATTGACGTCAAGTTAACAGTCACATTTGCAAACGCGCAAAAAATTGGTTTTGCGACTAGAAATTGAACCGTATGTTGCATAATTTCCACGCATGTGGCATTACCGTTGTGTTACCCGTTGCCACGTGTGTTGCTAAGGCTCAGGGTAATCGAACGGATTGTTAACTGCATCTAAACCAATCAGATTTTAGTATTTAACATGAAAGTATAATAAAATGTTATGACAGCATGCTGTAATAGTAAAGTTTGATAGAACCAGAAATGTATATACATAACGTCTCTGAGAGAATGGCATCCAAACGTCGTAAACTTTCTAAAGTTTCTCTGACCTGGTTAATAAAGTATTTGGTCAATGGCTTGCATATCACAATTAATTATGTGTTTTGGCGGCATTGATAACGACTGCGTTATGGGTTAGATACTTGGTAGTAAGTAAACAGGTAAACATGATAAACGATTGGCAAAGTCCTGTCTCAACAACTGTCAAAGTTTTATTTTCTTTTGATTAAACTTTAATTCTAGGATCAGATTACGTGTGTTCTTCTGTGTACCATACAAAGGGTGGTTGTATTTAATAAAAATATATCCTTCAACTATCAAAAGATTTCTAGTCAGAGTAATCAATAATCTTTGATTTAATAAAAACATAACACATGTGTATGTTAGTTGATTGTTTTAATTGTGTTATTCACATGTTTTCATCATGGCGAGTGAAAAATTTGTTAATGGCGACCAAAAAAAGTTTTAGGTCGCCATTTAGCGACCTAAAAGTAAGTGCGACTTGGAGCACTGATTTAGCAAAAGAAATTAATATTGGAGTATTCAGAAAAAGATCTAGATTAAACTGAGCAATCAGTTTTGTTTTCTCCCAAAATTCAAGAAAAAAAAGGGGTTAGGGGATAAGATTATGAATCAAATCAGTTTATCTGAATACAAAATAACTGCAGCTCCTAGTTTCTTTAAGAGAAGTATTTAAGCATTGGATATGATAACCTCTCTCCTTCATTTTGACTTTTTTTGGGATGTAACCTTTAGGGCAGCTTATCATCATTTCTCTACCCTTTGTCGTAGAGTAATGCCTTTTACTGACAAAAATACCCCCTCCTTACCCCTTTGATGTGGGCATTACTACACTGTCCTTACCCCTTTGGTGTAGAGTTAACTTTCTACTGGCAATGCTTCTCCTTCTTATCCCTTTGATGTAGTGGAATGATTTCTACTGTCAAAACTACCCAGTCCTTACCACTTTGAGATAGAGTAATGCTTTCTACTGATATTGCTACCCTCTTCTTACCCCTTTTATGTAGTAGTTATGATTTCTACTGACAATACTACTTCCCTTACCCCCTTGATGTAGAGTAATGCTTTCTACTGTTAATGCTCCCTCCTTACCCCTTTGATGTAGATTAATGCTTTCTAATGACAATACTACCCTGTCTATACTCCCTTGATGTAGAGTAATGCTTTCTACTGACAATACTACTTCCCTTACCCCTTTGATGTAGAGTAATGCTTTCTACTGACAATGCTCCCTTCCTTATCCCTTTGATGTAGAGTAATGCTCTATACTGACATTGCTCCCCTTCATAACCCCTTTGATATACAGTACTGCTTTCTGCTGACAAAGATACCTCCTCCTTACCCCTTTGTTGTACAGTACCTGGCCAAAAGTCTGTCATAAAATGGCTGACGTAACGTAACGTGAACAACGTGAACGCAAAATTCTAAAATAAAAAAAAATCTATAAATATTAAGCACTTACCCTTTCATCTCTAGTATTTAGTTGCCTGAACCTTAGATTTAATAACTTGTCGAATTCGCCTTGGAAATGAAGCGTACAGGCTCTGAATGTAGTGCTGAGGCAAGGACCGCCATATTTCCTTTACTTTCAAGATGAGGTCTTCACGATTATGAATATTGTGTACCTGTCTCTGAAGACGTATTTTTATGGTTCTCCACACGTTCTCAATTACATTGATATCTGGAGATTGTGATGGCCAAGTAAGACATTTAATATCGTTTTCAGTTTTCCAAGATTTTGTGGCGTTAGAGGAGTGAACCGGTGCATTATCATCCTGAAATAAATAGTCACCATTCGGGAAATGACGCAAAATAACTGGCCATAAATTTGTATCCAAAATGTTAATGTATTTTTGGGAATTTTAAAATATTACCATCTACCTCTGTAAATGTTATTCCTTGTGGTGTACACCCCCAAAACATCGCCGAGTACTTTCCGTTTCCACGGACGCCAAGACACTCGGGTCGCCTTACCCGGGTCTTCTGATGTAAACTGCTTATTTTGGTCAATCACAACCTGGGTTTGTCTGAAAATCACCTTTTTCCAATTATTATTCACTGTCCAATGTAATTTCCCTCGACACCAATTTACATACAGATCGAATTCCCAGGGTCTTACCTGGTTTTCCTCTTGTAAAGTTTAAATTAAACGTCTTCTACCGTGACTAGATAACTTGGTAACTTCGAGTTCACTTCATCAGTTATTTCACCCAAAGTTTGCCGTCTGTTGAGTTTCACACATCGAAGTATCTTACGATCTCCTCGCACCTAGGTCGTCCGCTTTGATGCTTATTTTCGCATCCGCGCGTCTTGTATCGCTTGAGAAATGAAATCCCAGACTGGCTCAGAAAGAATAGCTGCAATGTCCTGTTGGGTGTATCCACTCTCAGACATAGTTATTATCGCATTTTTCATAGGGGTAGACATTTGTTTACCTTTAGTAGCCATCTTGTCAGTTGCTAAACATTTGACAGATAATACGTCACTTTTATAAAATGACGTCATAGAATTATTGTATACACTCTATAGAAAGGAACTATTCAGCAGCAGCTTGTATAGAGTGATTTATTTACCAACGCTAAAGAGAAAAAAAATTGGCTTCCAGAATTTTGATATTTCGGCAGCCATTTTTATGACAGACTTATGGCCAGGTACTGTAGATTAATGCTTTCTACTGACCACTACCCTGTCTATACTCCTGTGGTGTAGAGTAATGCTTCCTACTGACAATACTACCCCACCTTATCCCTTTGATGTACTTTAATGCTTTCTACTGACAATGCTACCCTGTCTATACTCCCGTGATGTAGATTAATGCTTTTTACTGACAATACTACCCCACCTTACCCCTTTGATGTACTTTAATGCTTTCTACTGACAATGCTACCCTGTCTATACATCCGTGATGTAGAGTAATGCTTTTTACTGACAATACTACCCTGTCCTTACCCCCACTGATATACAGTTAGCTTTATAGCTTTCCTCTCCTTACCCCTTTGATGTAGAGCAATAAATGCTTTCTACTGACAATGTTTTCCCTGGCTTTCTACTGACAGTACTACCCTCTCCTTACCCATTTGATGTACAGTAATGCTTTATACTGACAATGCTCCCCCTTTTTACC